GTTAAGCAATTTACTTTAAAATGCCTCTTCCTTATTATTTTATGTATTAGACCTGTTTTCCTAAATAAAGATTATATACTCTTTAAGCACAAAGACAAATCCATATACCTATTTAATAAACCGTTACTCCATATTCCCAGCAACTAGGATATTCTAGATATATTGAAGGCTCTTAATGTAAATAACTACCATTGGTGCTAAAACATTGAAAAATACATATAAAGTGGAATTTTTTTCCTTTCAGTTACCACTCTATGATGGATTCTTCCAAGTCTGAATATTTTGAGAAACTTAGCAATGTCGATGGACTTGTACTGTATAAATGTTTTGTTGAAAATTGGGATAAGGTGATGGCATTCCAGGCAAGGCCGGATGATATTCTTATTGCCACATATCCCAAATCTGGTAAGTATCTTTGATATTTCAACATCTTTCTTTTTTCAACTAGAAATGATAAACACACTTTGAATGATAAATAATAAAGAGTTCATATATGACACACGCATCTTCTGCTAATTTCCCAAATTAAATAAAGGCAGAGTAATTTTGATAGAGATTTAGAAAAGAGGCATACTATTTTACTGTTACATGTTGACAGTGTATGACTATCTATTAACAGCACTTTGACAAAACAATATTGGTGGCCAAATTAGAAGTATATGCAATATATATGATGCATGCAGACACTTAATATGATTTAAAGTAGCAAAAATTCAAACTACAAATTGTGTTTATCTTAGGTCATCAATGCTATCTTTTCATACACAAAATAAATTTAAGCACTTTTACAGAGTTTTTAAAACTTTCAGATAGCTAGCTCTTCATTTTAAAATCTGTCTACAAAACTCTACTTTTAGGCAACAAAGTGTTGTTAAAAAAAAAAAAAAAGTATAACTTTTAATGATTTTTCTGGAGTCATACAATCATCGACATAAAGAAATTAGAAAGGTCCAATCCAGACTTCTCAATTTGGGTGTTCCCTTAACAGTTAAAAATGAGTATGTTGAATATTAAACTCATTGTCTTTGGTTACTATCATCATAAACCTACTTTTCCACTTCTTTTTCTTTTCTGTATTAAAAATAGAGTCATACCAGTTGTATTAGTCCCTGAGGAGGCTGTAACAAAGCACCACAAGCTACGTGGCTTTATATGAACAAAGAACTATTGTCTCTATGATCTGGAGACAGTCCAAACTAATTTATTTTCCAAACTAGAAGTCCAAACTAATTTATTTTCCAGACTAGAAGTCCAAACTAATTTATTTTCCAGACCTTAACTCTTTCCAAACTCTAGGGGAAGATACTTTGTTGTTTGTCCCAGATTCTAGTTGTTCTTGTTGCTGTAAGAGTCAATTCCAACTCTTAGCTACCCTATGCAGAAGAGAATGAAACACTACCTGGTCCTGCCCCATCCTCACAATTGTTGTGAGGATTGAGTCCATGGCTGCTACACCTATGCTAATCCATTTCATTGAGAGTCTTCCTCTTTTCCATGGACTAGCCACTTTGGTGGTGGTGATGTGCCATGGAGTCAGTTCCGACTCATAGCGACCCTGTACAGGGTTTCCGAGGTTATAAATCTTTATGGGAGCAGAAAGCTTCATCTTTCTCCCACGGAACACCTGGTAGTATTGAACTGCTGACCTTGCGGTTCGCAGCCTGATTCGTAACCACTATGCTAGGAGATCTAGCCTAGTGGTTATGAGTTGGGCTGCTAACTTCAAAGTCAGAAGTCTGAAACTACCAGCCATTTTACTGGAGAAAGATGAGGCTTTCTGCTCCTGTAAAGATTTACAGCCTTGGAAACCCTATACAGGGTTGCAATGAGTCAGAACTGACTCAATGGCTCACAACCACCACCACCACCACCATCACTTTACACAGCATAATGTCCTATCCCAGGGACTGGCATCGAATGATAAAATATTTGAAGCATGAGAGATGAATTCTCACCTTAGAATTCTTCTAAGGGGTACTAGGACTGTATTCCAAAACAGAATTGTTTGTTCTTCTGGCAGGCTGTAGTACTTTCAGTATTTTTTCCCAACACCATAACTCAAATGCATCAGTTTTTCTGTGGTCTTACATAATCATTGTCTGATATTCACATGCATATTAGGCTATGGAAAATTCCATTGTTTGGGTCAGGTGCACTTTAGTCCTCAAACAGATATCTTTGTTCTTGAACACTTTAAGGAAGTTTTGTGCAGCAGATTTTTCGAATGCAATACGTCATTTGATTTCTTGACTGCTGTTTCCATGAGTGTTGATTGTTGTTATGGTTGTTAGGTGCTGTTGTATTGGTTCCAACTCATAGCGACCTAATACACAACAGAATAAAATACTGCCCAGTCCTGTGCCATACTCACAATTGTGGTTAAGCTTGAGCCTATTGGTGATTCCATTGTGTCAGTCCATCTTGTTGGGGTCCCTAACCAAAAGACTGGTAGTTTTAATCTAGCCAGTGGCACTGTGAAAGGAAGTCTTGGTGATCTGCTTTCATAAAAGACTACAATCAGAAAAATCTTATATAGCAGTTTACTATGTAACCATGAATTAGAATCAAATATTTGACAATAGGTACACTATTCTCAGGTATCTGGGTTTTGATTTGAAACATAAAAAAATAACTCCTCCACTTGACTACCTTTCATACCTTACACAACTAGTAAATCTATGGTGTGGCACTGTGGTCTAATGCGTCAGACTGCAAAGTCGTTTGAACCACAAGGTCAGTGGTTCAAGGTCACCAGCTGCTCCTTGGAAACCCTATATAGGGTTTCTATGGATCGGAATTGACTTGACAGCACTAACAACAACAACAACATGACTATTCAAGACTCAGTGCAATTATTATTTTTTTAATAAATGTTTTATTGTAAATTATGTGATAGTTTACATGGGAGAACATTAGTTTTACATTCATTCTATCATATATTGTTTCATTGCCATAGTTACAATCCCATCCATGCATCATCAACCAACCAAAGAGTATACCCTGCAAGCCTGCACACACACACACACACACACCCTTCCCTCTCTGGATTTCAAGTCCCCAGCCACTCCATATCTCCACGTCATCGTGTCTGCATCCATCTCAGTCATCTCAGTGCAATTATTTTGCATTCTTGAAGTCATTTCTTGACTAAAAGTCAAAACATCTGCAGAAGCAGTGGCCAAGGTATGTGTTCCTCCTTTGTAGTACTTTAAATCTTTGTTTCAGCCTGCCTGGTAGCATCTTAAGAAGAAAATATTTTGATTATTGATTTTGACATTATTTTGAAAATATTTTGACATTTTCTGATTCTTTGAAGAGTCTTTGGGGCTACTTACAGCACTGACTAGATATATTATTTTCTATTTCCTCTATATACTTGGATATACAATCAACCCTCATGAAAGCAGCAGACAAAAAAAAATATGATGCATTACATTGGACAAATCTGCTGCAAAAAAAACCTCTTTAAGGTGCTAAAAAGCAATGATGTTACTTTGAGGACTTAAATGCACATGATCGCAAGTCATGATATATTCAGTCACCTTATATGCAAGCAAAAGCTGGACAATGAGTAAAAAAAAAATCATTGATGCATTTTAATTATGCTGTTGAAAAGAATATTGAATATGCCATGAATTGCTAGAAGTGAACAAAACTGTCTTGGAAGAATTACAGCTAGAATGCTCCTTAAAAGCATTCTGTGTTTTGGACATGTTATCAAGTGGTACTAGTCCTTGGAGAAGGACATTATGTTGGTTAAAACAGAGGATAGCAAAAAAGAAGACCCCTAAGGATATGATGTGACACAGTGGCTGCAGCAGTAGAGTCAAGCATAACAACAATTGTGAAGATGATACAAGACCTGGCAGTGTTCCATTCTATTATACATAGCGTCGCTGTAAGTCAGAACCAATTCAATAGCACTAACAACAAAATGCCCTCTGAACTAGTATTCAATTTGGGGCAGTAGATGTTCAGTGAAGTTTGTGGTTGAAAGTATGTTTGAGCACATCATCTGTTATTCAAACCTCATTAACTTCTAGATGTAAAAGTTTAAATATAAAACTGTTATCTGCTTACATAATGTCACAATTTCTTCATGAGCAAAATTTGACTCCTTCACCAGGTGTGTCTTATGACAATGCCCACCTTTACTTATTAAGGTGAGTTTTGTGTTGGTTAAATGGTCTTGGAAATATTTATTGTCTTTCTAGGCTCCTCTAATCCCCTTCAAGTATCATTACCTTTGTATCTTCAAATAGCACTATACTGATATTTTCCTAACATTTATCTAAAAAGCTAGCACACCTTTCCTCAGTTCTACGCCACCAGTGGGAGATAAATGTTCAGTGTGCTTAATTTTTATAGGCACAACCTGGATTAGTGAAATTATAGACATGATCTATAAAGATGGAAATGCAGAAAGATGCAAAGAAGATGCCATTTTTAATCGAATACCTTTCTTGGAATGCAAAAAGGAAGATGCTTTAGATGGTAATGTTCAAATTGATTTTAAAAACAATGTGCATGTGTTTTGAAGTATGGATATAAATGTTGCAAGAAGTTATAACATAAACAAGACTAGCAATTAGAATTATGACTTCTACATAGGAGAGAATATAAATGTAAATTTATACCTTGAAGGGGCTTCATTATATGTATGAAAAATAGTGAAAAGGTACAACTGTTTTATGTATTCAGAGAAACCTACTAATATTTCAGCTACTAGAAAAATAGCCATAAAATTTTAATGGTTTATTAAAAAGGAAGTTCCTCATAGATTACTTAGTATTACAAAAAATTGGAAACAACCTAAATGCTAATCAATAAAAGAATAACTAAATAATACTATGAAATAATTTAAAAATTTGTCCTGATTTGTGCTTCATGGCATTGTGTGTTTACATAAAATATATTGAGAAAATTGGAAGATATAAACATTTTCCACCTGTGTGTATGATATCTGTGTGGCTTAGAGTCTGAGAATATAGGTATATATGGGAAATTGTTTACCAAAATGACAATAATTATTATTTTCAGGAGGTGAAATATTATTTGATATTTTTCTCTATAATTTCTTCTATCTATAATATTTTTCATAGTAGATACTGTTTTATGCATACAATATAGTTATATCTATGTCTAAAATAATTATATACAAGTTAATAAATGTTTATAATTTTTAAAGTTGTTTAGCTTTGTTTTCTTTCTTTAAATCAGGAATAAAACAATTAAAAGCTATGGCATCTCCTAGGATAATAAAGACTCATCTACCAGCTGACTATCTTCCAGTCTCATTTTGGGAAAATAACTGCAAGGTAATCAAAGTCAAGTATTCCTAGAGTGTTATCAAGCTCATAGAAATTTAAGGATGATAAAGCCTTAAGTGCACATTGATTTATTTATTCTTTCATGGGATTTATAGAAACTTAATACATATGGGTTATAGTCAGTATAATTAAAGAAAATTGATATCAATTCCAAGTCTTCTATATACCAGAAGCCATTCTGGTAAAATTAGCTTAACTCTCTAAGTCTCAGTTTCCTTATCTGTAAAAGAAGAAAAATAATAGCATGCTTCTCGTGGAATTGGAGTAAGCATCAAATTAAGTAATATTTGTACGTTGTTCACTACTCATCTGTCAGTTTGTCACACTGTGGTAGCTGGCATGTTGCTGTGATGCTGGAAGCTATGCCACCAGTATTCTGAATACTGACAGGGTCACCTATGGTAGACAGGTTTCAGCTGAGTTTCCAGACTAAGATAGACTCTGAAGGAAAGGCAGAGTATTTCTGAATGTTCTGCCACTGAAAACCTTATGAATAGTAGTAAAACACTGTCAGATAGCACAAGAGATAGGGTGGTGGTTGGAACCAACTCAACAGCATCTAACCTTAACAACAGCAAGTTGCTCATTATAGTTCCTAGCATATTTCAAAGTCACAATAAATGGTATCTGTTTTTGTATTTGTGGGTAATAACTGGACTGAATGCCTTCTTTTTTTGAAATACTGTGCTTGGTATTACGTGGCAAATAAATCAGATATAGGTAAAGCAGAAGAGGATCATAAGGAGCTAATCACACAGTAGAGAAAAAAAGATATGGACATACATATTTATTTGGTAAGGTGGAGGGTCAGAGAAAAAGAGGATGCCCACTAGCAAGATGAATTGGCAAAGTAGCAGCATCAATGGGATCAATTGTAGCAATGATTGAGAGGTTGGCCCAGGACCGGATAGAGTTTCATTTTGTTGTGTGTAGGATCACTATGACTTGGGTACCCAACTTGGTGGCCGCTAACAACGACAACATTTATATTGTTTTCTTTCTGCATATAATATTTATTTATTTCTGTTGGAAGAAAGTTGAGACTGCTCACATAAAAATTTGCTGTGTGAGAAAACTTATATAGGATCACTATGAGCCAGAATTGACTAGATAGTTTGGTTTGTTTGTAGATCTTTTGTATCCCTGGTGGCACAGTGTTTAAGCACTCAGCTGCTAAACAAAATATTGGCAGTTCAAACCTACAAACTGTTCCTTGGAAGAAAGATACAGTAGTCTGTTTCCATAAAAATCACAGCCTTGGAAAGTCTGTGGAATCCACTCCACTACAATGGTTTTGTTTGTTTATTTGTTTAGTTTGTTATAGGCCTTTAACTTCCACAGATAAGAGAAGAGTTGTAATCCAGACACTGAGTGCAGGAGAGACATCTAGGAGCAAATAACATTTTGGCTTATATTTGAAGCATGCATTTGTTTTTGTTGTTGTTGTTGTTATGTACCGTGGAGTTGGTTCCGACTCATAGCGACCCTGTATAGAGTTTCCGAGGCTGTAAATCTTTACGGGAGCAGAAAGCCTCATCTTTCTCCCGTGAAACAGCTGGTAATTTCGAACTGCTGACCTTGTGGTTCACAGCCTGATTCGTAACCACTACGCTACCAGAGCTCCTTTTGTTTTTGTTAGGTGACATCAAAACATCTCGAACTCGTAGAGACCCAGTGAACAAACAGAACAAAACACAACCTGGTCCTGTGCCATCCTCAAAATTACATTTGAGTCCATTGCTGCTGCCATTGTGTCAGCACTTCTTGTTGAGGGTCATACTCTTTTTCATTGAACTGCCATTTTGCCAAGCATGATGTCCTTCTCCAGGGGCTAATCCTTCCCCACAGCAGGTCGAAATAATGTGAAGAAAAGTCTTCCCATTCTTACTTCTAAGGAGTATTGTGTCTAAACTTCTTCCAAGGCAGACTTGTTTGTTCTTCTGGCAGGCCATGGTACTTTCAATATTCTTCTCCAATACCACAATTCAAATTAATCAATTTTTCTCCTGTCTCCCTTATTAATCATCTAACTTTCACATGCATATGACACTATTATGATTTAGGTCAGGTGCATAGTCCTCAATGATATCTTTGTATTCAAACACTTTAAAGAGGTCTTTCACAGTACATTTGTATAATGCACTACATCATTTGATTTCTTGAATGTTGCTTTCATGAACAATGATTGTGTATCCAAGTAAAATGAAATCCTTGACAACATCAATATTTTACCATAATGCTACTTATTGGTCCAGTAGTATTTTTGTTTTCTTTATATTGAGATGAAATCTGCATGGAAAGCTGTAGGTTTATTTTTTTAATCTAAATTAATAATTATTATAAGGCCTCTTTGCTTTCAGCAAGCAAGGCTGAGTCATCTGCATATCGAAGATCATTAATGAGTCTTCCTCTACTCCTGATGCCATGTGTTCTTCATATAACACAGCTTCTCAGATTTTTTGCAGACATACATATGGAATAAATATTTTGAAAGGATAGAGTCCTTAAGTAAACCTTTCCTGATTTTAAACAATTCAGTATGCCCTTGTCCTGTTTGCATAACTTCCTCTTGGTATATGTACAGGTTCCACATGAGCACAATTAAGTGTTCTGGAATACTCATTGTTTGCAATGTTATCCATAGTTTGTTATGATCCACACAGAAAAAGGCATTTGTATAGTCAATAAAACATAAGTCAACATTTTTCTGGAGGCCTAGTGTGGCACTTTAAGACAAACAGTAGCCTACTAACTGCTAGGTTGGTGGTTCAAACCCACTAGCTTCTCTTCAGAAACCCTATACAGGGTCTCTAGGCATCAGAAATGACTCAATGGCACTAACAATAACAAACAGCAAAACATCTTCCTTTTATTTTCTGCTTTTGGTCAAGATCCATCTGACACCAGCAAGGAGGTCCCTAGTTCCACATCCTGTTCTAAAACCAGCTTGATTTTCTGGCATCTCCCTGTCAATGTACTGCTATAATAGTTTTTGAAAGATGTTCAGCAAACTTTTGCTTGTGTGTGATATTAATGATATTGTTTGATGATTTCCAAATTCTGTCTGGTCACCTTTCTTTGTAATGAGTACAAATATGTATCTCTTCTAATCAGTTGGTATACTGTTTTCCAAACTTCTGGTATAGTCCAGTTAACACCTCCAGTGTTGCAGCAGTTTGCTGAAACATTTCAGTTGGCATTCTGTCAATTCCTAGATCCTTTTCTTTCACCAATAACTACAGTACAGCTTGTATTTTTCCGTTCAGTGCCATTGGTACTTGATCATATCCTACCTCTTAATATGGTTGTACATCAACCAATTCTTGTTGGTACACTGACTCTGTTTCTCTCCATCTCTTTTTGGTGCTTTCTACATCGTTCAATAGTGTGCCCATAAAATCCATGAAAATTGCAAGTCGAGGCTTGAATTTTTTCCTCACTTTATGAGAAACTAGGCATGTTCTGCCTTTTTGATTTTATAACTGCAGAACTCTGCTCATTTAATTATAAAGCTTAACTGTGTCTTCTCAAGATGCTCTTTGAAATTTTCTACTCAGCTCTTTTATTTCCTTATTTCTTTGAATCACATTGGATTATATATGCTCAAGAATAAGCTTCAAAGTTTCATCTGACATTCATTTTTGTTTTGTTATGTTTTTCCCTTTCCTTTCTTTTTAATGACCTATTGCTTTCCTCCTCTATGATATTCTTTATGTTATCCCACAACTCTTCTGGTCTTGAGTAATTAGTATCTAATGCATCAAATCTGTTCTTGAGATGATCTATAAATTAGGTGGGATATGTTCAAAGTCATATTTTGACTCTCATAGACTTATTTAATTTTCTTCCGCTTCAGACTAAAATTGCATATGAGTAATTGATGGTCTGTTCTACAGTCAGCCCATCACCTTGCTTGACTGATACTATTGAGGTACTTCTTTCCACATAGGAAGTCAATTTTTTTTCCTTTGTATTTTGTGCCATGAGGTCAAAGTAGTTAGTCACTGTTTATATTGTTGAAAAAAAGGCATGTTCAGTTAATACTCATTGTTGTGGTTGTTGTTGCTAGGTGCCATCCAGTCAGTACCGACTCAGAGTGACCCCAGGCACAATAGAACAAAACACTGCCCGGTCCTGGGCCAATCTCACAATTGTTGCCACACTTAAGCCCCTTGATGCTGCCACTTTACCAATCCATCTTGCTGGGGTTCTTCTTCTTTTTCTCTGACCCTCCACTTTACCCAAGATGATATCCTTCTACAGTGACTGGTCCCTCCTGACAATATGTCCGAAATATGAGAGACGAAGTTTGGCCATCCTGGTCTCCAAGGAGCACTCTGGCTGTACTTCTTCCAACACAGATCTGTTGGTTCTTTTGGCAACCAATGGTACTTTCAATATTTTCCTCGAACACCATAACTCAAATGCATCAGTTCTTCTACTGTCTTCCTTATTCACTGTCCAGCTTTTGAATGCATATGAGGCTACTGAAAATACCATGGCTTGGATCAGGCACACCTTAGTCCTCAAGCTGACATCTTTGCTCTTCAACACTTTAAAAAGGTCTTGTGCAGCAGATTTACCTAATGCAAAAGGTACATAAATAAATAACTAATAAAACATCATTTGATGTCTTGACTGCTGCTTCCTTCCATGTGT